TATTTGAAAAGACTACTCACCCAGTAAAAAAAACTAGACAACACAAAGGGATAATCAATATGCTTGCAGCAAGCTTGTAGAAGATTTTAGTCCCCCTTTACCTTTCTTTGGGTGTTAAATCCATTTGCTGACCTTCAGTGAGAGTTTTTCTTAAATTTCTGGAAAGTGCTCACTTTCCACCTTAGCATGAAACCAAAAAGCTTGTGTGCCAAAGTGCTCTCCATCTTTAGAATATGGAATTCTCTTTCTTATTGATTCTGCATTTGGCTCTGGTTTCTTTAATTTGCCACCCAGAGACTGCTTCGGAATCCCATGACAGAGGGCTCTTCTGTTTCTGGGACTGCAGTAGCCAAAACAGTGACAAGAGCTGAAACGCATCGACAAAGAGAGCTTTCCCACTAAAACTAGAATCCACTGCTTCAGCGGGACTGTCACCTGACTGACCTGCTGTTGGAAGGAACTGGCGAGTTGTATGTCTATGTATTTTTCTTTAGGGGTCCTGGGTATTCTTTGTTGTTGCCGTTCAGGATCAACGTGCTGACCATACTCATTTTGGCAGAGAATCTAGTTTTGAGATAAGGTTTGGAAATGTTTGCCCCCAGCATGGTTGCTCATGTCTGGAAAATATTTACACTGATAACTACAAGCAGTTATGCGCCTAAGGAGATCACTCAGCCTGGTGGGGACGGGGGGATGAGGAGGAGGGGGAGGGGGGGTAAACTGTTATTTAAAAACTCAATCCTCTAGAAAAACCAGGAATCCAAAGACCATGCAGTCTTTACTGGGAAAGCTAGAACAAACAAAATAAAATCAGATATATTTGTTTAGGAAGGATGAGGAGCTGTTACTTTCTTTATGATAAAAGTGCATTATTTAAACTTTAAATCTGCTCAGATACCTCGGTTCCTAGTTCTTTTTAAAGAAAATTTTGGAAGTTAACTCTAGAACAGTAGTTTACTTATCATTTGCAGTCTTTATATTAAGCAGAGTTTTTCTTTTAGATCTTTAAAATGGTAGTTTCCCAAAGTAATAAAAAAAATGCCTAATATATGCTAGATATTGTTTTCAAAGCACTTTGTTTTAGTTGACCAGTTTAATCCTCATCGCAGTGGTGGGAGGTGAGTCCTATGATGATTCTTATTTTACATATGGAGAAACTAGCAACCGAGAGGTCAACTTGCTCAGGGTCTCATAGCAAGGGTCTGGCAGTGCCGGAATTCAGACCCGAGGAGTCGGGCCTCAGGATCTCTGCACTGCGTTTAGGGTTCTCACACACTGCAGCGTGCAAGGATCACCTGGAGGCGAGGACAGCGACAGTGATGAGATTGGGGTAATAAGACATTGCTTATCAAACTCCTGGGTACATATCAGAACATTTGCATAGGCTTCCCGTACCACAACTTTATGGGTAGGTGATATTACGTCCACTTGACAGATCAGTAAACTGAGGCTTAATAAGGAAAAGTGATTTGCACCCATTCTCACAGTTCTTGTGAGTCAGAATCCCAGTTACAGCCTGGACCTGTCTGGCTCTAGCTTTGCTCTTAACCACACGCTGCACTGCCTCGGCTTGAGTTGCTAGTTGTCACATTGCAATGTTCTTATATAATAATCACAAATACGAAAAATTAAGGCTCCTCATTAAGTGATCAGTCAATTTGGCCTCTAATGGAGTATGGTGGGGTAGGGTGGAAGGAAAGTAGTTGGAGGAGAAAATTCTATTAACCCTACTCCTTCCCTGCCCTTCTTCCAACCTTCCAATTCCAAACCCCTAAGAGAAGAAAATAATCCTCCCTATAGACCTTTAAGAAATCGCACTGTGAGATTCTACTGCTTCCTTTTGCTTTAAGCACCATCTCCAGAGAGAGAGTTCTTGGACTGCAGTACGTGGATACGCATAACCCTTAATGAGGACCAATGCCTCAGTTGATGAGCAGACTGGCGATTGAACAGGAGACTGTATCTTAGTACCCCTCAGTGAGAATTTCCTCCTCCAGCTCATATGTTTGAATTATAGTATTTCCTTTTCTATCCACTCGGTCTCCAAATTTTCTACGAGCAGAGTTCCCACATGACTGAAACATACAATATACACATCATTTTGCACATGAGCACCCCCTGTGATCCGAAGCATTCTGTGTCTGTCTCAGATTCCCTCCCGCCCCCACCCCCATGGGCTTTTTCCCCCCATTAGGCAAATGGAAGGCCCATGCCACCTGTTAGGATTACATCATTGGCTCCCCAGAACACAGTTGCACCAAAGGCCTTAAACAAAGTAGTTCTTCTTGTATTGTTTGCACTCAAAGAGCTGATATCATGCCAACTGATGTCATTGTATGTCTTTGTGTAACTGCTATGGCAACTGGGCAGGTGGGGAGCCTCCAGCTGACGTCATTTGGAAAGGAGGTGTAGCGACAGAATTTTAAAAAGCTGTATGCTGCTTTTTTCTGTGTGTGAGGTTTTCTGGCATGCGTTTTTTTTCAAACTAGCTGCTTTTAAGACAAATTACAGCTTGAGCACCCTAAATAAGAACAGAGAGAAGTTTTTCTTTCCCTTCTCCCTCCCCCTACTTAGAGACTTCTTTTGAGTCTGTTTTGTTCTCTCCTCTCATCTTATATGGAAAAGTGTAGCAACTGCCTTTTTAAGAAAAAAAGTGAATTAGGTTCCCATCACAGGATCAGTGTGGAACTGTTTACTTGAATTTTATGGAGGCAAAGCTGAGCAGCTTTTAAAATAACTCTTCAGAGTCCCTTCTGAGGAGCCTGCGATGGTGGCAGTGGGTAATTCAAATTAACTTTTTTACTATTCACTGGTAAAGTTTTGCTAGTTTCTCATTTCTTCTGTTTACTTTAGAAATGATGTCTTTGGGCCCAGACAAACTTTATTACAATGATTTCATATCAGAATAAACTAATGATATGTAAGAGCAGAGTTTAATTCTAGAAATCAATGAAAATAAATTTAGAGCTCTTGTTTTTCTTTTGAAAAAGCATAGGTAGGTTTTGACCCTTACAGATGAGGAAAGTGATCATAATTTAACACCCTTAGAATGATCTTTGACTCATTGATGGACCTTAATGAAAATGTGCCTTCCCTGCTATACATGGCTGGCTCTGTGTGTACTGGTCGTGGACAGTGCTGAGACTCAGTCTAGGTGACGATATGGGGCTTCCTGCTGTGGTTGCCAAAGATGAGCCTTGAAATGGAGAAGGACATATGTTGGGTTCAGAAACTAGTGGACAGATAGGCTTCCTGTCCTTATTTCAACACACCCATATCCTGTTCACACTTCATGTTTTCTGCCTTATCTCCTGAAACTATCAAGACAGACGGAAGCCAACTCTCCATGGGGGTAAATGTTGTGTTCTGGTGGCTTTGAGCTTCTAGGAGATCTCCAACCTCCTCTTCTTTTCAAAGGGAAGGCCAGAGTATATCTAGTTCTGTTTAATTAGAGTTGGAGCTCATTTAGTGGTAATAATTTCGACTCGGATTTCATAGCCCTTACATATATGTTGTATAATTTAACCCTTGTATTAATCCTTTGGGCTTATCCACATGTGTGATGCATCAAAAAAATTTAAGCAATAAACTATGATCCACACCCTTCCTAATTTAAACAAGTGTTCTTTTCTGCATGTTCCTTCAGCTTTTGGTCACATATATGGTGGATGTTTCTGAATGGACTTTTCTCATTTAATATTAAGCAGAAACATTTTCTTTGTTTTCATATTCTCTTTACAACTTTTAATGGCTATGTTATATTCTATTGCATGAATATAATAACTTTTTCCATTTTTTAAATGTTTGTTTCTCGCTTGGCTTTTTCTATAACGCTGTCGTGAACATCCTTACGTATCTAGTTGAGTATTTTTTATTTCCTTAAGATGTATTCCCATAAGGGACATGCACTTGTGGAGGGGGAGGTTTGCATTTTAAAACTGAGGAGAGTGGTGTAGTTTTAGGCTTTTTATACTAGATGCATAATTCTTAGGAGGCAGAGTAGGACCTTAAGCTCAAAGGTGCATATTCGCAGATCCGTAGAGGTTCCCTGATGGGTTTATGTTCACACAAGCCTCGGAAAGGAGGGTACAAGGAACTGGGCTGCTCTCAATCGGAAGTCAGGTTGACAAAGTCAATCTATATGGCAAAGTCAGGGACCTACATGGAGAATATCAAAAAAGAGATCATAAAGTCAGCTTACCTCACCCCTCCCTGTATTTTTCTCTTTTCCAAGCACTTCTCTACTGCTTCCACCTGTGGGCAACATATAGATAACATTAATAAAAATACCTAATCTTTGTCGACTGATACTGTGTGCTAGGCAAAGAGCTAAGCACCTTACATATATTCGTTTATTCCTGACTCCCAATCACACCAAGAGGTAGATGCCATTAGCCTCATTTTACAGATGGGGGAACTGAGGCACAGAGAGAGAAACTAACTTGCCCAAGTCACAGAGCCAGGAGGTGGTAGAACTGGGTTTATAGCCAAGGTCACCTGGTTCTTCCAAAGCCCCTGCTTGTAGCCACTCTGCTGTATCAGGAGCAGACTTGTCATTCTGAGTGAGGTGAGCTTATGAAGGGTGCAAGACACACTCCTACAGTGCCAAGATACTGGTAGAAGCTCTCTGCCCGAGGAAGTGATCCATACCTTTCTCGGCTCCCAAAGTGCAAGGTTCTATATAGGCCACTGAGCATGTGGCTCTTTGAGGCAGATCAAATTTGCTGCTGATGAAATCGCCTGATGCTGCGTGGAACTCTTTCCAGAGGAACATGCCCCAGTTTGTATAAAGAGCACATTTCCCAAGTCTTGCATGCAGTCCATATCCTCTGAAGCTTGTCCTGGGTCTCCAAGTGGACTTTCATTTTCGTTTTGATTTTATGAAAAAACAAATGTACATAAGCAACAACACACACTCATTCCTATGGGGAAAGTGGCATTTTCAGCTAACTCTGAAGTTCTAGGAAGAGTCATTCTCACTTTCTGTGTTTTGGTTCCAGGTGGACTTAGCAGTTTTAAGCAGAACCATGAAAACCTCTGTGACAACTCCCTCCAGCTCCAAGAGTGCCGGGAGGTGGGGGGCGGCGCGTCTGCGGCCTCGAGCATGCTACCTCAGTCCATCCCCACCACCCCTGACATCGAGAATGCCGAGCTCACGCCCATCTTGCCCTTCCTGTTCCTTGGCAACGAGCAGGATGCTCAGGACCTGGACACGATGCAGCGGCTGAACATCGGCTATGTCATCAACGTCACCACTCACCTGCCCCTCTACCACTACGAGAAAGGCCTGTTCAACTACAAGCGGCTTCCGGCCACCGATAGCAACAAGCAGAACCTGCGGCAGTACTTTGAAGAGGCTTTTGAGTTCATTGGTAACTATCTCCCTTGAGGAATCCACATCTTCTGCCTTCCTTTCCCCTCCCGCTTTTGCTTTGATATCAAATCCAAACGTTTACACGCCTGTGTTGCAGAAAAGCTGCTCTGAGGTGTTTTTGGGCTCTGCCACCTGGTGCGGCCAAAGTAGTCTCCTCACTCATAACCCATCAAGTGCATTGGTGCCGTCAGGATGCATATAAAAGAACAGGAATTCAGTTTGGTTGGAATCGATTCAACTAGAAATCTTGGTCCCTCAGGTTCTCAATGAAAAAGTGGTAGGGGTTAGCATTAATATGTTCTATAACATAATTTCAGACGAATTGATGGAAAGGAAGAAACTGGAGGTCAGAGTCTGTGACTATCTGGTCTGCTAGCGTCTCTCAACACCTTATAGGAAATAAACTATAGTGAATATGACACCACCTTCAAACTCAGCCACACCTCCCTATCACCGTACTAAGCCTTACTCATCCAGCACAGGAGGTGACTTCATTTCCTTATCTTGAGTTCCATTAATTTGTAGTTGGTCTAGCCTCTTTACATGAGGTTGAGGAGAAAGTAGCATTTGTTGAAGGGTTTCTCCTGAAGGACATTTTTCAGTGAAACAGTGCTGTAGTGAACATCTTTATGCATCGCGTCAGTTCAGAGGAGAGAGAGAAGAGTGGGGTGGGGGTGAGTTTTTTTCCCTTCCACCTGCTTTGTCTCAGACCTTCAACACTGGGGAGCAAAAGACTGTGAGTCCTAGTGAGATGGTACTCGATTCCCTTAAACAGTTCATCCCAGACTCACTGAAGGAGGAAAGATCAAATTGCCTAGCCTGAGTGGTTCCCAGGGAGGAAAATTCTAGCAACAGCATGCTTTCATCTCCAGGAGGAGGGAACTGCCAGGCTAAGCCTAATCCACCTTTCACTTTTGCTGTTTCTGTAGCCTTGGGCTGTTGTAAGGGTCAAATGATCATTTTGGGCACACCTGGCACCTAGCAGATATTCAGCAATTTTTTTCAAGCAACTCCATTTACTACCACAAAGAAGGCACCCAGTCCTTTTCCTAAATATGGTGGCAGGTTGTTACTGCCTCTCTCCCGGGAAGAATGCACTCATGTTTGGTGCTCCTTTGTCAGAAAACAAAGACTTGGGGTTAACAGCCATTGGGTTTGGTGGATTTCCTGTAGAGTTGGCAGCTCTGGTCACTTTGTCTAGCTGTTTTCCTTGCTAATTTTGCCGTCCATGCAAGACCATCAAATATTTAGTTTGACAGGAAATTCTGAGTGGTCCTGAGCTGAGAAAAGTGAAGTGACTTATCCAAGGTCCTAGGAACTTAGTGTCAGAGACAGGACCAGAACCCAGTGCTCTTGTCTCCCAGGCCACCACCGTTCTATAACATGCTGGGACAGGGTCTATGAAGCTCTGTTAGTTCCTGACTGGCCACACTTGTGGCTGCAAAGATACCTTAGATTCTTTACTGGTAATATCTGAACCAAACCTTGAGCCCCCGAGGAAGAAATATTTGTCACCAAGTAGATGAGGAACTTCCTGGTGGATATTATGACTGCAATTTTATCTGACTTCATTCCAGTTGGGAGGAGTGAGGAAATCACTTTCCATTTAATGAGTAGCATAAGATAGGCTTGTTCTAAGAGGATTTCAATCAAAGCACCTACATTCCTTATAGGTTATTCAGGCTTACCTGCTCTTTTAGAAGGAAAACAAAACAAATAACAAACAGCATTTAACCTGAAAAACCATTCAGCATCACAGCTTGCACAATTTTATTTTCGTTGTTATCTCATTGGATAGACTGAAATCTTAGAGTCTGGCTTTAGGGAAAGCACAGCAAGTTTTATAAACATAATAACATTCACTAAGAGTCTAATATAAACCAAGCAGAGTCTTGGTTTAGGGTTTACCTATGCAGGTTTATTTATTCCCGAATCAGGTGATATTATTCTTATTTTCCCTGAGGCTAGTTAGTTAGTATTCTTCCAAGTTTTCACACAGGGAACTTGAGGATCTGAGAATAACATGACTCACACAGACTCACACAAGTTTACTGGTCTAGTGTGTAGTGGAACCAGAGGTCAAACCTAGCACTTGGCAGCTCATTTTCTTACCACCATGCTTCCCAGTCTTGGTGTGGAGGTCAATAAACATGTGCTGAAGAGAAGAAATTGAAAAAGGGAGATACTTTCTTAAAATACAATTATCTATGAGAAGTAGGCTGAAGCTACAGATCTTTAAGATGGAAATTTGCATGATACTTCCTTTCTTGGTCCACTGGTGGGTAGTCGATAGAAGTAATTTAAGTTAAATCGTTACTCTTCTTACTCTCTCTCCTTCCCTCCCCTTCATCTAATTGGTATTCCTTCAAGGATGCTTTCTTTGGGATGCCTTTTAGTCTAGAAGTGTCATTAAGAATCCATTCAGGTAGTGCCCACAAGCTATTCATCTCAGCTTTTAATATATCTGCAAACTTAGAAAGTATTACTTCTCAGTTGCTTGGGATTCTGAGTCCTTGCTAGAATTCCTGCATCTCTTGCTTCATTGCCTTGTTGGAACAGCATACATGGGTGGAGAAAGGGTTGAACAGTTCAGATGTACGTGATACCCTATGTCTGAGTACCACAGGTCCTTAGCTAACTTTGCAACACTAGGGTTTTCTGATGAGAAGCTGAACATAGTAACTTTCTAGTTGAGTTTTTTTCCTTTAACCTTGGTCAGATATTAGTTTAGAAACTCTTACCCATTTAATACCAGTTCCTGTACAGAGCACTTGTGCAGCAGAAAGGTTTTTTTCTTTATCACAGGTGGGGGAGACATTGTTACAACACTAATTTTGCTAAGCCGCACAACCTGGCAATTGGAATTACAATCCTTAATAAGAGGGATCTACTTAATCAGTAGCTTGCTTAACATGTAAGTTAATTGCGTTATAGGTCTAGCTTCAGTCAGCTGCCATCACCTGGGAAGTAAACTATTACTATGAATGATTTCTTCATCTAGTCTTCTCTTTAAATGCAGAAATATGGCTTCTTATTCATGCTGCATTTTACTAATATTGCTTTTAGCCAGTTCTGGAGGTTACAACGTAAACATTCACAATTAACTAGTAAATTATACTTGAGTGTAAAACCATTTTAATTTATTCTTTTTCTACAAAATATGGCATTGTCAAGTGTAGATAAAAGTTAATCTCTCTCCTTCCATCTCTCTCCCTTGCCCCTTGCCTTTCTCCCTTTTTTCAGAGGAAGCTCACCAGTGTGGGAAGGGACTCCTCATCCATTGCCAGGCTGGAGTGTCCCGCTCTGCTACCATCGTCATCGCTTACTTAATGAAGCACACTCGGATGACCATGACTGATGCTTATAAATTTGTCAAAGGCAAACGACCAATTATTTCCCCAAACCTTAACTTCATGGGGCAGTTGCTGGAGTTCGAGGAAGACTTAAACAACGGGGTGACACCGCGAATCCTTACACCAAAGCTGATGGGCGTGGAAACGGTTGTGTGACAATAGTCTGGATGGAAAGGATTATTGTTCTCCATTTGGAGATGAAGAGGAAGGATGGATTCTTTCTTTTCATTTTTCCTTTTTTAGATGGGGGGTAAAGTTTGTGAACGGAAACAAACTTGTTTAAAAACTTTTTATTTTTAACAAGTGTGAGAAGAATTTAACTTTTGATGCCATTGAGATTTACTTCCCAAGAACTGATAAAGCAGGGAGGCTAAAGAAGTAATTTTTTTAAGCCAACAATAAAAATATAATAAAACTTGTTTCTTCCCCTTTTCCTTTTAAGCTATTTGTAGAGTTTATGATTAAATAGTCTGTGCAGGTTCATAGACCGACGATACTACACTTTAAACCAATTAAAAAGAACCAAAAGTAAGTAGAAAAGACACTGAATCATGAAGGCCTGGGATCTGCCTGGTCTATCCATACAGAAAACAGAAACCCAACCAAACCAGCCCTGTTTTGCTCACTGGTGCAAACAGAAGATCAGGGCAGCTTAAATGGTCTAAGAACCCTTCACGTCCTTTTAAGAGATGAAGAATACTGTTGATTTTGTGTGTTTCATACTCTGGATTACTTTTTCCCCCTTCTCTGGGTTTAAGAGATTTTCTGAAACAGCAAGGACTGACCATTATACCATATGCCTTCACTGGCTTCTTGTGCAATAATATGGTGTTTTGAGTGTGCAAATGAGTGTGAGCTGGCAGCTGGATGATAGACAAATAGTGCAAATTTGCCAGCTTGGAGATAGAAAGGAATTAAACAAAACCAATTTCTTTCCTTCCCACCTTTTTCCTTTGTTTAATTTTTCTTTTTTTTTTTTTGGATTTGATTCTGGTTACAGTGCCATACACCTTGTTACATGTATATATCAGAATGTAAAAAAAAGACAAAAATTTATTTAAAAATATTTTTCGCAAAAAAAAATAACTTGGTGTGTTTTTGTTGATTGTGTAAAAATTTATTTTCATTATATAAATGAAACTTATTTTGGGATGTGTCTTTTTTCCTCCTCTTTTTCTCAACTCAGGTTCATGCATCTCTTACCTCTGGTAACTTGGACATGTAACATCATTGGAAATAGACACACATTTTTATGTGGGGAAAGAGAGATGAGGAAGGGAACACATTCTCTGTTCTCCGTGTGAAACAGAGAGAATTAGCAAGGAAGCAAAAGAGCTCCAGTATCCACCTGTGCAGTCATCACCCCCTGTCTTCTCATAACACGTCTCACAGCCCCTCTGTCCTCTTTGGCGAATGCAATCCCTCTTATGTTGGGTGAGCCTCAGGGAAAGTCACCTTAAAGGTATGCGGAGTTCTTTACCAGCCTTTGAGCTTTGGTGATCAGGTCACTGTCAGATTGATGGGTTAGAATTCCGTGATCTCACCAGTGGCTATTTGATAAATATTTGTGACAATCTGCCATGTATGGGTCTTGACAATCTCCCTCCCCATTGTCACTTGCTCAATTAATATCTTTGGTAACATTAACCATGTTGTGTGCACTGCAGCAAATTGCTATTTCCTACTCTTTTGCTAGCAAGCTGAACTTAGCTTCTCTATCACACTTGGTTAATACATAGCTGATATTGCATGGGTTCCCAATCCACAGATGAGTGGGGTGAGTAGCTGGGGAGAACACATTCCAAATGTTTCTATGTTTTATTAAAATAGATGTCTAGAGGGACTTGGCCATAGGGAAGGCTCAGAACAAACTGAAATTTGCCTGGGGTGAGTAAAAGAGCTGAAGAATTCTGGCATGTCCAATTCTATATGACTACATTTCACATAAATATTTTTGCTAACATTTGCTTACAGGTGTTAATAATGAAATATTTTTGACATTTTTTAAAATAGCTTTTCTACTAGGAGTGATTTCAGGAATTCACTGGAAGCTGTTTTGAATTATTTTAGTTTACTACTAAATGTTAATCAGGTAAAAATGTAAATCTCTCGTATGGTGCTCTTTAGTCTTCAGACTATTAATTTTTTTGGTGCTACAGCATATTTAAGGAGTTGCACTGATATGTAATTAGTGATTTGAAATACATGGTGATTTACTAGACAGCTTTGTTGTTTATTCTAAGTACAAATGTTAAATTTTTGATAGAGTATAAGGCTTATTACCTTTTTTTTTTTAACAAAACGAGAAGAATCAAGACAATTTCTTTTCTTTAGCTACATAGAAATGATTTCTGTTTTCAAACTTCATGATTTTAAAGGAAAGACTGTCCTGGGGCAGAAGGGAATCCTGCCAACCAGCATACCAAGAATTCTGAGACAGACTCAGGTCTTTTTTGCTAATCTGGTTTGAGTCACTTAGCCTCCAATTCTTCATGAGGAGTGTCAACCACTTCATGAAAATAACATGGATTAACCAAGCCATTGCTCTAGAAACCAGAGTCCCAGGTGTCTGGGCCTCACAAGGTACTTAGGCTGAGCTGGGAAATAACTGAGTGCTGTCTTCCTGAGACAGAAGAGTGTCTGACTGACCAATGCATGCATCGTTCTCGGAGGCTAGCAAGGCTTGTATGATGCTAAATGAATTTAATGATTTAATAGGCTGAATCCATAATATATGTAATTAAAAAAATGGATACAGCGGGCACTGTTACCTTAAGTTGAACAGAAGAACAGCTCTGGCTCCTCTATATACATTCATTTCAACAGTTAATGCTTTTCCAATCAATGCAGATTAACCAGGATGTAGAGTCCACATTTCATGGTGCTAGCTAGCTTTTGGGTAAAGACTGGCAGGGCAAGAGGTGGGGCAGGGGAGGCAACAAATGGAGGACATGTATAAGGGGAAATACGAAGCAGAAATGTGATTGCAACCCAGCAGTCACATGTTGACAGTAAATAGGAAAGACGACCTTCTAAAAGGTAATAAAATATGGGAAACAGAAAACTGGAGGTTATAGTAAAACAAAAATGAAAAATCATCAGTAGTCCTTATCTGTGGGACATATGTTCCAAGACCCCCAAAGGATGCCTTGAAACGCGGATAGTACCCAACTCTATATATACTATGGCTTTTCCTATACATACATATCTATGATACAGTTCAATTTATAAATTAGGCAGAGTAAGCGATTAACAACAATAATAATGCAACTGTTATACTGTAATAAAAGTTACTGTAGATTTTAGCAGTCTCAGCATAAGATGTTTTTTCTTTCCTTAGTGAGTCTAGAACTTTCACCTTTTCACTTAAAGGAAGCACTTTATGACTTCTCTTTGGCATATCCAAATCACCAGCATCACAACTTTTGTGCTATGGGGCTATTATTAAGTAAAATAAGAGTTACTTGAACACAAGCACTGTGACATTGCCACAGTCGATCTGATAACTGAGAGGGCTACTAAGTGACTAATGGGCAGACAGCATATATAACGTGGACCTGCTGGACAAAGGGATGATTCATGTTCTGGGTCGGAGGGCATGAGATTTCATCACGCTACTGAGAATGGTGTGTAACTTAAAACTTATGAGTTGTTTATTTCTGGAATTTTCCATTTAATATTTTCAGACCTTGGTCACCTGGAGGTAACTGAAACCACAGACAGTAAAACCACAGATAAGAGGAGACTACTGTATCAGAATAAAGAACCAAGACCTGAATTACACTTCAAAAATTGACTAAGATAGAATGTTAATAAATTGCTCTAACTAGATCTTCTGGAAGGTAAGAAGTCTGGCAAGCCAAATTGAATAGAGATAAAGCAAAGTGGCTATCACCTTATTTGTGAACAGGCTGTTGTAAATAAGCCGCAACACATTTATGTTTTATTCCCCCAAAATGTGACATCCAATCTTAGGAAATGTGGGTTGGTGCTTGGTCCCAAACTCTAATTGGAAACAGTCATTATTTATGGATAAGTGTGGAAGAGGAGGCCAAAAATGACAAGTAAGCACTGACCCCCAGAAGGATGGGCAATAATAAAGTATTTAGAAAAATACCATCCAAAATTAAAACTGTCTATAGGAGACTTCCCACCTTTATGGAGGTGGTAGACTGAATGCCAGTGCTTTCCATGGTTCCTGATTTTCTCCTCTGTGGGAATCTTTGTCAATGTTTGGGGAAAGATACATGCATCAGGGTTTGGTCAGAAGCAGAAACACTGGGTGATATACAATGAGGAGTTTATTCTAGGGATCAGACAACTGTGGGATCTAGTGAAGAAATCAGTGGGAGTGTGTTGCCTCTGTGTTTGATGATGGGCTGAGTTCTCTGGTGGTCAGCAGAGCTACCAGGGAGAAAAGCTGGGCACGAAGTGTAGGAGAGCAAGGAAGAACCGCAATTAGGAGGAAAAAGTAGAACACACATTTCCCTCTTCTGACTTCCATGACGTGGCTGACTTTGAATAAAGATCTAGTGCCCTTTGCCATGGAGCTGAACATGTACCTGGCCCAGGACTTGCAAAGCTGAAGGAGGAGACCTGGAGAGAGCTTCAGGAGCTGCAGTCACAGCTGCTGCCCTAAGTTAAGGTGAGCTACCAGGTCAGTGACAATGTGTGCTCGCTGCAATAGTGCTCAGTGCCCTCTTCAGAGTATAATAGTGGCTGCTTCACTTCTGCCTTCCAAACCTTATGTAAATTTTTCTTCAGGTTAACCTTAACCCCGTGTAAAACAGGAACAGGAAAGGGAATTCTATGAAATATAGTTTCTGATTTAGCTAATTTGATACGGGACAAAACCACCATAGGCTACCATTGCCAACTTGACATCCATCTACACTTCTTTTAACCATACATAACTTACAGACAAAGACCTTAGAAAATGACGTTTCCACCTAATAAGATGCAACTATCACTTCTATAGTTGAAAATACACTAACTTTCCATGTGCTACTTTATCTATTCTGGGGTGATGTTCATTCCTCTTCTGGTTAAGATCCACTCTCCCTTTCATATCCTATACTTTAAATACTGAGATATGAGGATGCTATAGATTGAACTGTGTTTGCCAAAAAGCTGTATTTTCAAAGTTTTAAACCCCAGACCTTGTGAAAGTGATCTTATTTGGAAATAGGGTCTTTGCAGATGTAATCAAGTTTTTAAAAGGTCATATTGGATTAGAGTGGGCCCTAAACCAATTACTGGTGTCCTTAAAGGAATGAACGCCCTATGATGATAGAGGCAGAGATTGGAGTGATGCATCTACAAGCCAAGGAACACCAAAGTTTGCTGGATATCACCAGAAGCTAGGAGAGAGGAATGGAACAGATTCTCCCTCAGAGACTTCAAAAGGAACTAACCATGA